AGGCTCAGGTCTGATTCCCCTTCCTCTAGGAGGAGGCCTTCTGGTCCACCCCCCTGTCCACTACCACCCTTCACCCCAGGTGTGGAACCACTCTTGTTCTCCGCAGTCCGCAGGAGGCAACGTTTCAGGAAGCAGGGCCACTGGTGGGGTGGGTGCTGCAGGTGTGCTGCGGGCCTGCCTCTGCCAGAACCAGGAGGTCAGCCCCAGCCTCCCAGGGAGGAGCAAGACCTCTAGAAGGCCCCTGCCCCCAGGGCTCCTAACATCCCCCTCCAACCTCTCAGAGATGCAGAGCAGCTGTCCCCATTCCCACGGCCCTGTGCGTGGGTACCTCTCCTCTCTCAGCCTCACCCAGATCCCTGAGACCAGCAGCCACCTGCCAGGCAGAAGCTACCCAGCCCCCTAAGTGAATGTCTGTGTAACTGCACACAGGCGCACACACACGCCAACATGCGTACACCCAATATGCACACACATGCCTCCATATACCCACACACCGAGGCTTTCCCTCCCCAGAGCTGTCTGTGCCCACCCCACAGGAGACGGGGCTGCATCCTTGCTTCCATAATGAGCAATGTCCACAGTCACTTAAGCTCACAGTCCCTGACAGTGGTGGCCACCAGGTTCCCACCCAAGTTTGATCGGATTGACCCACTGATCTCACCCCAGGTCCCATTTCCACTGGGCATCTTCAGGCTGAAGCCCAGGAAGTGGGGTTGGGGGCAGTGAGGACCTGTCTATTCAGGTCTTGGACATCCTGGCCCCAAGTCCAGCTGCCTCGTGTATACGAAGGTGGCCCTGGCCTAAACCCATGCCTTGAGCAACAGGCCTGGGAAAACCACACCAGTTCAGGAGAATCTGGTCAAATGTCTGCTCCATGACCGTTTTGTGCCTAGAGGGGTAGAGTCCAGTCCAAAATAAGGTTCCCTTAGGCAAAAAAAAAAAATGTCAAAGGAAAAGTTGTATTTTAATTTCAGAAACATTTTGCAAGAGCACAAGGGTCCCATGGTCTGAGTTTCACTGCACTTCCTTGGGCTGTGCTGGGGAAGCTTTCAGTTCTGTGATCCACACCGATGACAAAGCAGAGTTCTATGTGTCACCAACCCATGTGCAGAGGTTCCTTAAAGATGAGCCCAAGGGATACCCTTAGGAGAAGTGCAAGAAACAGTGTGAGCAAGACCCCAGGCCCAGCATCCAGCAAAGATAAATGAAACCAGAGACCAGTCAAAGTCTAGGCATGGATAGACTGTATTCAGGAGTAACTATTGCTAGAACTTCCCTGGTGGTCCAGTGGTTAAGGATTTGCACTTCCAATGCGGGGAGTGTAGGTTCAACCTCTGATTGGAGAACTAAAATCCCACTTGCCACACTGCAAGGCCAAAAAAAAAAAAAGGAACAATCGTTGCAGAAGACAAGAGGACTCAGTGCAAATTCAACTCAACTTTGAAGAGATACAGGCAGGAGACTGTGTAAAGGCCGGAGGGTGCTGGGGGGAGGGCTCAGGCCAATGGGTTTGTCAGTTGGTGCTTCTGTGAGCAAGGAAGGATCTGTTATGTCTTCAGGAGGAAGAGGCAGTTAGAGCAAGGTGACCACTCACCGCCTTTACCCTCCCGGGGTGGAGGGCCTGGCTGAGCGAGGAGAGACTCCCAGAATGCTTGCATTTCCAAGAGACAGCTCGCAGATCCTGAAGGGTACGGTCCTGGTTGGTAGGCGATGGACATCTCAAAGGGCAGAGGATGTTCTGAAGTAACTGGTCTCACAGAATTCAGGGCCTTTCTGCCTGTTGCCAGAGTTTGACCCAGAGAGACAGATTCTCCCAGGGGTGCTGAGCGAGAAATCTGGAACTTGAGACCTCATCTTAGGGTTGCAGCCTTGAGCTGTTAGGAACTAGCTGGGGTTTAGTCAAGACTCCCTCTCTCTCTCTTTTAAAAACACATTTATTTATTTATTTGGCTCTGCCGGGCCTTAGTTGCAACACACAGGATATTAAATATTCGGTGCACCATGTGGGATCTTTAGCTGAGGCGTACAGAGTCTTGTGTTGGGACATGAACTTGGTGTGGACTGAAAGCTGGTTTAGCCCTCTCAGAAGACGCTAAAACTGTTTAAGTCTTGAGAGTTGATCTTCAGAAATACACAGCATATTTAAGAACTTAAAACTGAAGCTGAAGCTCCAATATTTTGGCCACCTGATGCCAACAGCCAACTCATTGGAAAAGACATTGGTGCTGGGAAAGAAAGATTGAAGGCAGAAGAGGGTGACAGAGGATGAGATGGTTGGATGGCATCACCAACTCAAAGGACATGAACTTGGGCAAACTCCAGGAGATTGTGAGGGACAGGGAAGCCTGGCGTGCCACAGTTCATGGGGTTGCAGTTTTGGACATGACTGAGTGACTAAACGACAACAAAGAACTCTAAGGTCCTTAATTCTTGGTTGAGTAGGCTGCTGAGAAAATGAACAAGTGATCTGGGCAAGGCTGAGGCATGGCTCAGGTGGATGGTTCAGCACCACACAGGGCTGTCCCCAGATCAAAGGCAGCAGGCAGCTGTCCAGGGTGTCCTACTGGGCAGGGCTGGTGCTGACGCTGGCCTTAGGATCCTGGGAAAGAAGCAGGCAAGCCAGTTCTAGATGGGACCAGATGCTTCATCCATGGGGGCTGTCCAGGGCTGAGGCTTGGATGCATTCCTCCTGTTGATGGTCTGATTCATGGGTATTAAAGCACTGCCGCTTGCCTGGCCCTGGCATCTGCACTAAGGCAGGGGTGGGGGTGAAGGTACCCTCTCCAGAACACCTGGCTCCAGTCTGAAGGTCCAGATGTGACTGGGCTGGCTCAAGAACAAGGGGACATGGGCTGCTCACCTGCTCCACCTGCCCAGATTTCAATCCAGCTCTGGTGTTCCTAGTTTTTTGCTTTGGCTTTAGAAACCCCAAAATGGCAAAATGGAGCTACCAACAATGCCAAGGCCAGTTTGGAGGACAAAATGGCCTATGGACCTTGATGGGGACTCCACAGCAGTGGCCAGGGCTTGAGGGGTTTGGGCCGCATCAGTGACCCCTATTCTCAGCAGAGGGTGGGAACAGGAGGGCCTCCCAGTGCAGAGACAGGCCAGCTCCAAGGCTGGGAAGGGAGCAGGAAGAAGGGAGCTCTGTCTGCCAGTTGCTGCAGCCCATTTGGTTTGGCAGAGCCAGGGAGGCCCAGGTTCTAGAAGGGACCTGGCTGCCAGGCCAGGTACGTGCAGCTATAAAGTATAGTCTTCAGGAGTATTCCACAGAGGGCTGCACAGCTACTAGCAATCGAAAGAAAAAATTAAACCCCAGTGCTGGAGAGGGTATGGCTTTTGATAGAAGTCCAGGCAGGATCCAGACTGTGGGGCCGCCCACCAGGTGTGTCCAGGCAACAAGAGTCTGGTGCATCCCACCCCAGGACCTCCTCCCTCCCTCCCAGACCCTGGACTCCAGCTCAGAGGTTTCCAGCGATGCCCCCACGGCCCCCGAGGGAGTCCTGCCTCCCCTGGTAGAGGAGCTCAGAGCCCCATGTGGCTCTGTCTAGGAACCCATGGGGACACAGAGGGGCCTCAATGTGACTCCCTTCCAAGGGAATGACACCCTCTGGGGTTCAGAACCAGTCTGGGGGAGCTCCGTCTGCTCCAGGGGGCCCTGCAGGCCCCGCCCTGCCTCCTACTGCCCAGTCAGATGGTCCCTAGAGCCCAAGCACTGGCTGGGGAGGCCTCCTGGGCAGCCCTCTGGGCTTCCAGGCCGGTGCTCTACCCAGACGGAGCTCTCCTCCTGGGCTAGGAGCCTTGGTTTTGTTATCCTGCCTCCTCCTTACAAAGACTTCTCTGGTATCTCAGATGGTAAAGAATCTGCCTGCAACTCAGGAGACCCGAATCTGATCCCTGGGTCAGGGAGATCCCCTGGAGAAGGAAATGGCAATCCACTCTGCTATTCTTATCTGGGAAATCCCATAGACAGAGGAGACTGGTGTGCTACAGTCCATGGGGTCGCAAAGAGTAGGATCCAACTGAGAGACTTTCACTTCACTTTCCTCCTTACAAAACCCTGGGGTGTACATACGGGTTTTTATCCCATTTCCTAAATCAGGAAGCTTCAGTGTGCAGAGCTTACCCCACTGCCCCAGCTCATGGAGCTAGTTAGGCAACATATGAGGATCTGGAGCCCGGCCTCTCTGCCCAGACCCTCCCATCCTCAGCTTTCAGCATAAGAACTGCCTCCCAGGCCTGATGGAATCCAGGACACCTAAGAAGTGAGCAGGCAGACCCAAAGCCCCAGGCAGGTGCTCGCAGAGCAGGTAGAGAACCCTCCTCCAACGCCCTGACCACTGGGCCCAGGACCCGTCTGGTCATCCTCCTCTGCTGTGGGTCCTGCCTGCCTCGCACATCTGTGAGCTGCAGATCTGTTCTTAGTGCACATGCAAAGGCTCTGTGATGCCCCCAGAGACCCTAATTCTGTCCCCAGGGCCACTCCAGCCAGGGCACCTTCCCCAAAAAACCTGGGGTGTGTGAGGCTCCCTCCTGCCCGGGGCTCTTCCTCCATCCCTCCATCCCTCCATCCCTCCAGCTGCTCAGGCCACGTGGGCTTGTTCACCCCATGACCTGGGATATTCTTTCCAGGATGTGGCTACTCTGAGCCTTAAGTGGCCAGAACACTGTGAAGAAAATGCTCAGTAGAGCCTCCTGAAGCTTTTGGACAAAATATACTTGACACTGATGTGTAAAAGAATAAGAGCTGGAAGTTCCCTGGTGGCCTATTGGTTCAGATTCAGCGCTTTCACTGCCACAGTCTGGATTCAGTTCCTGGTTGAAGAACTGAGATCTCCCAAGCAGCTAAAATAAAATTAAAGTAATTTTTTTTTAAAAAAGAGTAAAAGCTGACATTAAGGGAACATGCATCAATTCATTCTCTTAATGTTTACTCTTAATTTCAGAAGATCACCTTCTAAAACATACAACAGAAAGGTATCCTGGGTGTGGGCCTGCTCCAGGGGTCCTGGGACCTGGAACCTCCCCTTTCTTCTCCCCTTGCTGAGCCACTGAAGGTTCCAGAACCACCCTGGGTTGACCCCTGACTCCCTGGTGTCTCCTGGCCCCTGGCGGCCAGGGGCTCCGCAGACTGCAGTAGAGCACTGAGACCGGAGGTCAGTGCCCTCTGGGGCCAAGGTTGAGAGGGCTAGATGCTTTCCACACCTCACTCTCATGGCACCACATGAGGTGAGTGACAGTCAGAGACCTGGCAGGAAGCTGGGGGCTTGGGGGGCACACTGCAGACTGGAGAGGGGGTCCAGAGAACATCCGAGGGTGGGGTGAGGGGACCAACGTCCATGCAGCTGCCAGTCAGAGATGATGTGATTGCATGAGACCCTTCCTCCCTTGGCACCTCCTATCCGGGGCGGTGGGGGGGTATTGAGGGGGGAGGAGGTTCCAGAGCAGGTAGAGGAGGAAGTCCTCTGCCGTGAGCCTCATTACCTCTCCCCTCCCACTTTTCAGAGCCACCATGAGGCCTGGAGGCTGGTTCAGGGCCATGGGTTCCCCGAAGGGCCGGCCACTTCACTGTCTCTTGCTCTGTTCCCAAAAGAAAGAGGTAGAAACATGTTTATTATCCTAATACCTGGCTCTGGAATTCCCCACTGGAAGATGCAAAGGCTGGATGAGCCCCAGGCTGCAACGTGGCGGCTGGGCCAGCCTCCTGGCTGCTCTGAGCCACCTGCAGAGTGCTTGTGTTGGAAAGGGTGGGTGAAGGAAAGGCTGTCCCCCTACCCTGTCCCAAAGGCCCAGGACACAGACAGGTGGGGCTAGGAGGCTGGGAGCTTGGGCAGGGGTGGGGCAAAAGTGCTGGGCAGGTCTATCACACCCACCCCACCTGGGGCTAGTCACATGAGCACTTGCAGAACAGAGGGGCTGCAGTGACAAGACAGCAGAGACAAGGCTGGGCTGTAGGCAGAGGCCCCTCAGAACAGGGTCCAAGAACCTCAGCAATATCTCAGAGTCAGCAGCGAGCTCTAGGCCATGCCCTTGTTGGGGGGCTCCTGGCATGGATCCTGGGAGCCACTGTACTAGTTGCATCCTACAGGGACTCTGCCTATGGGGTCTGTGCTCTGAGATCAGGCTCTGGGCACAGGGCTCCATCCAGGTGTCATGTTCAAGGCTTCCCCACCCAGACCTGTCTGCAGACCCTCCAGACTCTGCCCGGCAGGTGTCCAAAGTGATCCCACCTGTGCCTAGGCCTGAACCAGTGCCTGTCTACTCCCTAGCCCTGCCCACCACGGGTGCCCTGTCTTCAGACCCTTGCCTAGGGATCCTCTCCAGTCTCACCATCAACCCCACTCCCCCAACCCATGTCCTTTCTCCCAACCTGGGGCTGCTTTCTGGTCGCCACCTCCAGCAAGCAGGTCACTTGGACCCCCTCTCCCTTTCTGCAGTCCCAGCATGCCTTCCCCTTCTGCCAGCTCCCCCCCACCTCGGAGCATGAGAGATTCTTATCCATTTTTTAGATTAGCCAAGAACGACCAAGTCTGTGACCAACCTGGAGGACAAGTCGTTTGCGGGAAGAACTTAACGTCTATGGATTGTCTGTTCATGACCAGACAGTCCAGGCCTCTTTGAATAAATGTGTGATGCTGTGGTGGAGCTAATGGTAAAGAACCTACCAAAGCAGGAGTCGTAAGAGACTCGGGTTCAATCCCTGGGTTGGAAAGATCCCCTGGATGAGGGCATGGAGATCCACTCTAGTATTCTTGCCTGGAGAATCCCATGGACAGAGGAGCCTGGCACGCTACAGTCCATGTGACCACAAAGAGTCAGACACATCTGAAGTAACTGAGCACACATACACACACACTGTCCACCCAACATGAATGCAAACTGCTTCTAAGTCCCCTCATGCTGGGATGGAAAGGACCACCTTCCAGGTACTTGAACCATGTCAGTCTGCTCTGTATGAGACAGGGCGTCTGACCTGCTACCACATAAAGAAGTTGGTGTGGTACGCTACACCATTTGCCCTAACAGAATGGCACAGACTCTTGGCTTAAACAAGAGCAATGTGTGGTCTCACATTCCGGAGGCTGGAAGTCCAAGATCAGGGTGCTGCTGGGTTGGTTTCCCCCGAGGCTCTTGGGCTTGCAGGTGGCTTATGGCATCATTGACTTAATGCAGAAGTCTGAGCAAACTCCGGTAGGTAGTGGAGGACAGGGAAGTGTGGCCGTACTGTAGTCCATAGGGTCGCAAAGAGTCGGACCCAATAGAGCCACTGAACAACAGCAACAACCCTTCTTCCTGGGCCTTCCCAGGTGGTGAAGTGATAAAGAACCCGCCTACCAATGCAGGTTCCATCCCTGGGTCGGGAAAATACCCTGGAGGAGGGCATGGCAACCCACTCCAGTAATCTTGCCTGGAGAATCCCATGGACAGAGGAGCCTGGAAGGCTACAGTCCATGGGGTCACAAGAGTCAGACACGAATGAGTGACTGAACATACATAGATGTGCACCTTCTCACTCAGTCCCACAAGGCCCTGCTCTGAGCACAGGCAGAGACAGAGAAACCACTGTTGTTTCCTATAAAAATACCAGCCCTCGTTCACCCTCGACGCCCTTCTTAAAGGGCCCTCTCCAAGGAGTCACATGGGTGGTTAGGGCTTCTATGTATGAAGCTGGATGGGGGGACACAATTAAGTCCTTAATATGGTAATAATCTGCCATCAGATCTAGTTTTCCTAGGCTCAAGATTTATGAGCTAATGGGGATATGACGGGACCCCCACCCCTGGGTTACTGGATGACTCATCTCTGCCGTCCCCTCAGGATGGGGTGTTGTTTTTGATCTCGTATCCTGACCAGGGAAGGGCAAGGGCCAGATGCTTCCCCTTGGCCCTCTCCTCTCCCGTAGCTCTTTCCCGAGAGGTTAAACAGCCCCTGTGGAGGTTCTGCTGACGGCCAAGAGGCTCCATCCCAATGAGCCTGTTGGAAAGTGGGACGCAGGTCACTGACACAAGAGCCAGACCTGAGCCCTGATCCCACCTGCTCCTCCCCATTAGGGGGCTATGGTGACCCTTGGATTCCACTTACTAGTATCAATTCAGAGACTGTGTCCAGTAGTCCTGAAAAGTCTCCGTGTTCCCCTCCCCTGTATGGAGTCCCCCAGTGAAAGGCCGAGCTTCCTTCCAGGAGACCCACACCCACCATGGGATGGCCGGGCCTCCCACTCAGCTGGTTTCTGAGTCTGACTGCTGGCTCAGTTATCATGATGTGGCTACTCCCAGACTCTTGATCTTCCACCCCCAGTGTTATTTACTCTAGAAATGAATCAGGACCCTTGCTGACTGTCCTTCTTGCTGGCCTCAGTGGATCCAGGTCCCAGAAGCCATCTACTTGACAGACAGGCCCCCAGCTGCCACTCTGATCTTGGAATCACTGAGATCACTGCCTTCCCGCTGCTCTGACCCCACCATCTGTCCTCAGTACACAGAGACCCTGCTGTTCCCATCACTATAGGGTCCCATAGCAGCCTCCACCACCAACACTGACTTGCCGGGAACACGCACAGAAATGCACTGTGCCCCTTACCAGCTGTGTCATGTGGGTAAGCAGGGCTCCGTCAGCCCTTCCTGGGTTTTCCAGCCTCTATCTGAGCCTTTGATCCCTCGGTCGTCTTCCCTCCCTCCCCACCTTCTAAAAGCCAGACCGAGGGCAAAATGTAGCTCTGGTCTTCTGGATGGTCCCCCCAAGGCGTGAAATGTGAATCACAGACAGTATGCCCGCGTGGACGGCTCTCCTTATCAGAGTTCCGCCCTCCTCACTCCCACATCCTCAGAACCCAGTCCTGCCAGGTCCCACCTGAGCCCAACTTTGGCAGAAAGCCCCTTCCGCCTGTTCTGACACCTGCTCCAAAACAGGTGAATCTGGAAGACCTCATGCTTAGCAGAGATAAGTCAGGCACGAAAGGACAAACAGCGGCTGCTTCCACTTTATGCAAGGTCCCTAGAGCAGTCGAATTTATAGCTGAGACTAGGGTGGTTTCCAGGGGCAGAGGGCAGGGGCGGAGAACTGGTGTTTGATGGGGGCAGGGTTTTTGGTTTTGCAAGATGAAAAGTGTTCTGGAGAGGGCGGTGGTGACGGTTTCACAACAGTGTGAACCTACATCACACAGCTGAATTACACGCTTAAGGATGGTTCAGATGGTAACTTTGTGCTGCGTGTTTTACCACAATAAAAAACAACAATTTAAAAGCTCTCCCCTCCCTCAGTGGGTCCACGCCTCCCCAGCCGGCTGTGCTGGGATTTAACGCCAGTCAGGCTGCCAGAGGGAGGGAGGGAGGGTGGAGGTGGGTCCCTAGGGAGCCACTGTCTGGTTAGACACCTGCCACACAGTGTGAGCCTCAAGCAGGATGCAGGTGGGGGACCACTAGAGCCTGTAAGGGGAGCAGTCATCCACGCAGTCCTTCAAGTTCACGGGATCTGAAGTTCCCAGTTCTCATCTGCATCTACCCAGACCTCCCCCACGCCCCTCACCAGCGTCTCACCCTTTCAGGGCCCTGACCTTATGGAAGTCTCCCTCCAAGGTCAAGAGCGCCAACACTCCTAGGGAAAAAAAAACCCTCATTTACCCCTCCTTTATCCTCCAAACCTCACCACCCTTCAGACATCAGGGTTCCTGAGATGCTCCAGGGAGGCCTGCTGGCCTTCACGTCTTGGGCTGAATTTGTTTGTCGTGTCTCTCTTCCACAACCAGCAATCTCAAAGCAGCCAGCCCCGACCCCGATCCTAGGTCCCTGACGCCTCCCCCAGGCAGTTGCCAGATCCCTGTCTATCTGCTGTGTCTGGGCTCAGCCTCGGTGAAAAGGCTGAGCCCCCCTTGGCTATGTCACATTCCACCCACTGCCTGTACTCAGACCCTCTGTGCCAGCCAGTGGCAAGTGATTCCATGCAGGGGATGCACCCCAAAAGTGTCAGGAAGGGAAGAGGGCAGAACAGGGCAGAGGAGTTCGGGACCCAGGATGTCACTGCCTCTGAGGCCTCGGCTGGCCCTATAGGCATCCCAGGGCCTCTGGAGCCACCCTAGAACAGGAGGGTGCCAGCTTCTGTACCCATGTGACAGCGGGTCTTTGGTGGGGTGGGGGGGCGTACATGGTCTTGGGTGGTCTTTTTCACAGGGGGTGGGTGGAGTTGGGGGCTCTCCAGAAGGGATCTGAACAGAACTCTCTGCTGTCCGTTTCCAGGTCAGCACAGCTTTCCCTCTGCCTTGAACTTGACTCTCCCTGCTGGTGTGGCTGCCTCGGGCTGCCTGGGGTGAAGGCCTGACCCAGACCCCCCCAGCTCTGCAAAGGTTCCCCAGGCAGGGCACCCAGCACTCTTAGTCTTAGAAAGGCCCCAGTAGACATAGCCAGTTGGGTGTGTGCCACCCCTGCATGGGCCCAGAGCTCAGAACGGACCACGCTTGGGGTGCAAGTTTCTGCAGTCATCTTCTTGAAATTCTTAAGTTTTATTCTTGAATTTGTGTTTTGTGAGTGAAGTCAGTGGAGGATGTCAGGTGCTCACGCCCTGTGGGGCCCAGGCAGGGTGTGGGGAGGGTGAGGCACACAACCACCACACACAGATGTACAGAGTCGGGGCGCCTATGAGGGTCTGCACTCCCCCGCCAAGTGCAAGGTCTGAGGGAGACCAATGTTAAAGAGAAAATGCTTAACCATGACAGGTTGACAGAGAGACCGTGGAAGAAAGGAAAACACATTTCCACTGCTTTTTGAACAAAGGGCCTGCACTTGGTGGTGGTGGTGGTTATTTTTCTGTGTATTTTGTTCTTTTTTTTTAACGTCTCCACCTAGGTACCAATTACTTATTAGGTCGATACATTTTTGTTTTTAATTGGAGTATAGTTGCTTTTCAATGTCTTGTTGGTTTCTGTTGTACAGGAAGTGAATCCGTTACACGTATACGTATCTCCCCTCCCTCCCTCCCATCCGCCCATCCCACCCCTCTAGGTCATCTCGGAGCACAGAGCTGAGCTCCCTGTTATAGAGCAGCTTCCCCCAGCCATCTATTTTATACATGGTAGTGCAGGCATGTCAGTCCTAATCTCCCGATTCATCCCGCTCTCACCTACCCACATATCCACACGTCCATTCTCAGGGCCTGCACTTTGATTTCTCGCTGGCCCCTGCTCTGAGCTCTGCACCCAGATCTGGAAGCCCACACAGCCTTCCTCACTACCCAGGCTTGGTCTGCAAGCTACCAAAGGCAGCCAGCACAGCCCCTACACCTGGCCAGAGAACCTCACCTTCTTTCCAGGATGTTCTCTTCTTCATCCACAAAATGTATGGAGCATGTTTATCCTCTGAGCCCCAAACTTACAAAAATGATTCCAGGACCCCATGCTCTTCACCTGGGCAGAGTGGGGCTTAACTTGGGCTCACCAAGGATTTCTGTGCTTTTCTGATATTAATAGTACAGATGACTGATCTGGGAAAACTTGCAGGGAAACCAGCCACATCCCACCCCACCAGTCCCGTTCCTGCAGCTTCAGCGGTGACCAGATCATTGATGATGCACACGGGTACATCAACACCCACGTGCAAACCCCACCCCCACCCCAGCCCAGACTT